AGATGCACTTCCACAGTTAAGAAATTAAGACCATTCGATGCTTGTACCATTTTTGCATTAGTACAATTGTGTGGCAAGTACAATCATACTCTATGCGCAGGGAAGTCGCGACATTTTCCATCCCGAAAAATTCCCAGACCGCACCAGGAATCGAACCCAGCCACCTCCAGCATGGTCTTGCTTTGTAGCTGCGCCTTTACCGGCTGAGCTAAGGGAGTCCCAGAGTTGTTACAATAATTATGTTCCCGTTATTCGGGTTATCACCTCTTGTGATATGGTTGTACGATTGCACTACTCATTCATTAGGGGCAGACAGACATTGATGATTGATGATGAACGGAACACAGAATCACAATGCAATCATTTTATCTCTGTCGATCCTTAAACCAAACATGCGCACGTAAGAAGGTACAGCCATCATTCGTTGATTGGAATGCAACCTTATCCCATGTACCGAAAGCCATTCAAAAATTCCTGACCAACAATTGAAAACGGCCTATTAGCTTTTGTTAACAAAACTTTGTGAGCCCTTTCCTCGCAAAGTGTAGGCTGCTCACGGAAACCAACAGCATCATCCCCTATACGATGATGCCATGATCATCCCCTATATCATGATGACGGATTATTGTCGAACACCCAGTTAATGATGATTGTGTTTATTTACCACCCAAGCCTAACCAGACCGAAGCACGCAGATTTCTTCGCCTACTTTTGAGGCAAATGCTGTTGTAACTAAAGAGACGAAACGTCAAAATAGGATCAATTGGTTATCTGCCATAGTCTTGGTAATAGTCATTCCAATCGAGAAAGCAACCTGCCGAATGGATGAGATGTCGCCTCTTTACCCAATTCAGCCTCTTTAGTTGTAACCACCCAAAAACTAGCTCTGACGACAGACAGGTACACCTCTTACGCCTTCTCTGTTTGTAGAGAACAATGTGTCACAACGAGATTAGGTGTACGCAACGATAGCCAGATAGCAAGATAAGACGTCGTAGGGGTTTGGGTTCAAAATATTGTTCTGCTGTTTGACGCAAATTGCTTGTTTCGGGTTCCGCTCTTACCGAGAAAGGGTGCCATCAGTCTGTCCGCAATTTGCTGACTGACAGTGGGTATCGCTTATCAGGATCAGTGCAATGATTGATTCATCGGGTTGAGGCTATATACATTATTCTTCAGGAATACTCAGGGTGGTCATTAGTGTATTTCCGTATCAAACGCAATGCAGAGTAAACCAGGAGATGAGTTAAGTTTAGCAAGACAAAAGTCCTAGTTCGGTTGTCTTAAGTTTCAGAAGATTTAATTTTCAGAAGATTGAAGAATTTTTCTTTCAGCAAAGTAGTTTGAAATCATCTCAGCTCTACAAATTTTCCGAAGAACATGTGTCTTTATTTGTTACAATGTTGTTGATAGAGGCGAATGCGTCGATTCTTACGTGATGCTAAGACTTTCCCTTTTCGTCACACGAACTATGAAATGACTGAAGCAAAATTCGGACTGCAGAAAATTTTCAACAGAGAGCCACAGTTTCATCTCTATACTTTTCGGCACAGTAAAGCGTCAATAACAGTTCATTGTTTAAGTTTTATTGAATGACAATTATAAATTATTTCTTGTTATTCGTACATCATTGAAGCTTATTGAAGTCTGTTGATGGAAAAAAAGCACATAAATAAACGAATGATGCAAACACGACATGTAAATTGATCTGGGATAGACCCCGCATGATCTTCTGCTCAGTAAGCAAAAACGGTCGCCACTATGTCACCAAGCTCCTTATACAGCCATTCCATAGCAAACGATATAGTGATTCTTATTTTATTTTTAAGTCTAGTTCTTAGAAAATTTGATATGATCTAATTGGAAAAAATCTTCAATTTTGAGCGAGGTTTTATTTTTACGAACTTCGGGACTTCATAAAATGTAAGTTCTCAAATCAATATACTGGACATGGTGACATTTCCAAGATTCTGAAGCATGAGAAGATTAGCAAGTAAATAATAGTTACTAGGATAGTTGCCAATTGCTGCACACTTCACATCTCTTACTGTACAGCATTTATCCATGACCATGACGTTTACTGATCAGGGTGACATGTGATCAATAACTGGATGTGTTTTTGATACTCAGTTGTGATAAAACATGTTTTAAATATTTGTGACATTATGCATATGATTTCAGGCGATTTCTCAATTTTTCAGTTAATACACCTCAGTTGTAATTTAAGCTATTATTAGCTCAAAATGAAATTAATTCAAGGAATCTCAACAGTAAAATGTTGGCTATTCTTTTATTTAACGATCAGTTGCAATACATCTATCAATCATGTTAAATTTATAGAAAAATATTACTGTTCAATAAGAGGATCACATTTGGATTCTCGGTCCTGGATTATTGTCAATAGAGATAACGCCTAAAGGTATGCATCGTTTCATAAAAACAGCTGCTGCGTATATTTTGCTTCGATTAATAAACTCCATAAAATAACGGATATCGTAAGTACAATATACCAAAAAGTCACTGTTTGATTATTTTTCCTGAAAAAGTGCATTCCAAGATGCATTTAGCCAAATATTATACATTAACAATAGGGCTCAGCTCACAGTGCGGCAGCAGAGAATCAACAGTGTCGAATATTGGTTTCCGGCCGGTAAACGTTGTCCCTGTTCCGAAAATATCCATACAGTAGGATGTTTTGTGGAAACTGAAGGCCGCCTCAAAGATGGTGTTGGCCATCGATTTTCGGCCTCTTACACGTCACCTTCGTTTCGGGATCGAAAGTGTACCAAAAGTGCTTCTGAACGTGTTTCGCAGTTGGGAGTGGTGAAGTTCGTAAATTCGCGGTTCATGTTCAGTGAAAATTCCGTATCACAAAATTGCTCAACGAGTTCCCTTTTTTTGCCGTTTGACGACGACGGGCATGCGAGAGAAAAATAAGCATCGGGAATGTACTCCCGGATGTATTGATTTGGTGAGTTCGTTCCAGTTGAAGATTGTTCTTATACATATCTCGATTGCATTTTCGAGGGGACGTCCGGAGAGCCTTGAGATTTAGGCGTTGTTGCTTTTCCGGGCAGACGAGTTGGTCGCCGGTAAGGTCCAGTAAGTGCTGTCAGCAGATGAATCAAGAGGTATTCGAAACAAAATTGGTAAGAAATGTCCATTCAAATCGTTTTATTACAGTTAAACAAATTTCAAAACTATATACGTGCCAGATTTGGAAATAATATTTTTTGAATCTGGAAGTGTGTTTATGATACCATTATCCATTTGATAAAGGTAGAGTGAACATGCGGGGCTTATTGTAAGTAAAAGTGACCTCGGAGTGGTCGTGAATTACCAGGCATTCTGAAATGGGTCACTGGAGCTGCAATAGAGCTAACACCTTCTAACTCCCGGACTAAACCTGCTTTAATTGAAGGGTAATAAAAAGCAGTTTTCTTCCATAATAACACTGCCGGACAGTGGGGGTTAGATTGTACACACACACACACACACACAATAGGGCTCAGCTCACTTCCCGAATGCGTCTGAAAAAACGCAACAGTAAAGGGCGAACACGAAATTATTGCAACACTTTTAATTTGCTCTCAAGCTTCCCGTAGTTATCAGATAAATACCAAATTTGTACGGTAAAATGTAAAATATTTGGTAAAATGCCCGACACTTTTGCTCCACGCCATCCTTAAGAGCTTGTACAGTCGTATCCGGTATCTTTTTCTCATTATTTATCCATTTCCTCCGCATGCCATTTGCATCCTTTACTTTATCCTTTACACCTTGATACTTCAGAGTTCCCACTTCATCATGGCCCATTAGGTTTCGATTGGGCGTAGTTCTGGACAGTTCGGTGGATTCATGTCCTTGGGGACAAAATGCCTCATATCATTCCAGCACGCTTTTAGAATAGTGACATGAAGCTAAGTCCGACCAAAATAATGATTTTTCACTGTGTTGCCTCAAAAATGGCAGCAGACGTTTTTGGAGGCATACATTTTTGTAAATTTCACCTCTTTGTGACGAATATTTTACTTCTTTTTCCACAGGTGCAGATAGTCTGCCAAGTATTAAGGTATTTTGATGACAATTTCTTTTTCTGGAAACGGTTTTGATTCACTGCTTGCCATTCTTGCTCGACGGCTGACGGCTGACGGCAACGGGTCGTCCCAGGCGATGTCGAAAAGCCAGAGGTGTTGATAGAGAATTTTGATTTTGACTATTACAGGAGCCAACCATCCGAACGGGTCGAATAATCTGGACGAATCTGATATCATCTGGCGCTTAGTGTTGACACTGTGCGGGGAAAAACTAACCTTGAATCCATATTCATCTCGAGACGGATACCACAGGATGCCCAGTGCCTTCACTGCCTCGTTGTAATCCGAAAGCTTCATATGTACGGGTTGTGCTTCGTCCGAAGAGTGGTTGGATAAAAGATTCTCACAATTAGACGACCACTTCCTTAGTTCAAACCCGGCTGAAGATAAGATTTCGACCACCTGCTGCTTCAGGCGGATTGCTTTTTCTTCTTCGTCTGCTCCGGACAGGAAGTCGTCGACGTAAAAGTCAAGCTTGATCCGCTCCACTGCTTCCGGATAAACGGCTTCGTACGGCTTAGCTGATTCTCTCATGGCCTCGATTGCCAAATACGGGACTGTTTTCGTTCCATACGTCACTGTACAAAGGCGATAGTGCTTCAACGGCTGATCGGGTTCTTCACGGAAGATGATACGAAGATAGTCACGGTCCGCTGGATGTACCAGTACTTGACGGTAGAATTTGGCAACATACGCACGGAAAGCCACACGATGTGAACGGAACCGTAACTAAATTGTGAAGATATCAGCGTTATTGTTTGGTCCGGCCAACAATCTGTCATTGAGCGAAACTCCCGATGATGACACACAAGACGCGTCAAAAACAACGCGCAGTTTTGTTGTTGAGCTGTCTTCCTTGATTACGGCGTGGTGCGGCAAATAGTAGCACTCACCGCTAACTTTCTAAACTTCGGCTACCGGAACCTCCTCCATATGTCCGAGCTCTAAATATTCACGCATGAAGTTAGTGTATTGATTCTTGAACTCCGGATCCAGATGAAATCGCCTTTCGATACATTTGAGTCGTTTCTTGGCCACAGCAAGAGAATCGCCAAGCGCTGGCTTCGAATTATCAATCATGTTATCCACATCGAACGGCTGAGACGGTATTATGGTAGTCAGTTTGCCAAGAACGTAGGCCTCAATGCTCAAGACTAGGGTGTCCTTGAACCGAGATGCAAGGCGCAATGTCACCACACCGCGTGTCGTTCCGACCTCTTGTTGACCCAGACCGTTGACTACTAGCTTGCCGTTCCGTCGTGGTAGTTGCAATTTCCGGACACAGGATTCTGTCACCAACGACGCTTGAGAACCGGAATCGATGAGAACTCTCGCTGTCATAAAATCGCCATCCACCTTTTGCACCTTGACAACAGCCGTTGGCAGCAACGGGATAGATTTTTGCTTGTTCTCGGGAACTTCCGCCGCCAGTGAGACAATGGCACTTTCTTCCTTTGCAGGGGCCACCGCCGAATCTTCTTGTTGTTCTGCTTCCGGTTGTTCAGCCTTCTTCACCACAGGACACAGCAGCGTATGGTGTTGTTGCTTGCAGTCGGAGTTGTGGCACACAGACTTCGACGTACACGACTTCACCGAATGGAATGGCCGTAAGCAATTGAAACACAGTTTGGCCTTTTGCACTAGTTCACGTCTGTCCTTCACACTCATATTTTTGAATTCTTCACACCGATACGTATTGTGCTCACTGGAGCACTTCGCGCACTTTTTGTCCGTTGTTGACGTATACAGCGTCTTCAGCTTCGTCGAGATTGGCACCGATCTTTGTACTTCCTTCTTCGGTTCATTCACTGGTTTCTTCACGAACGCAGAACAAGTTTCGATCATCTCACAGCGCTTTTTGAGAAACGCCAGCAGTTCCTCGAATGTTGGGTTCTCAATCTCTACTACTTCTTGAGACCAACTGGCTCGTGTGTCCTTGTCCAGCTTCTCCAGGATGAGATGGATTAGCCACGGATCTCGGCTTTTGAACTCCTGCCCCAAAGCATCCAGCTGTTGCACAATCTCGTCCGATGTTGTAATTAGTCTGCTCAACGACTGCGGCGATGCTGGAGTTACGGCCGGTTAGGCCATGAATTCGTGAACCAACGAGAACACTGTTAAACGCTTTTTATCGTAGTGGTTGACCAGTGTCTCTCACGCTTTATCGTAATTCACACCCGAGATAGGGAACTTGTTGACTAAGCGTGTGGCGTCTCCATCCAGATAGGAAAAGAGGTATTGCATTTTCAGCGCATCTGTAATGTCAGCCCGATTGTGGATTGTTGACAAGTAGAAGTCCTTAAACGTCATCCACTGTTTACGTTCACCATTGAATGGCTGAATCTGGATGGCAGGCAACCGAACATTCAACTGGGGTGCACCATTCGACACCTGTTCTCCGTCGGATAGTTTGATTGCAGCAATCGGAAACATCGACAGATTTTCGACGGTTTTTGCTGTCATCGCCTGATCCAACAATAGCTTCCTCTGCGTCTCGATGAGCAGATGAAGTGCCTCCTTCCAATCGGCCGTATTGGCAACAGTTTGCTGACTCACGGAAGATCCAACCTCATCCAGATGGCTTTCGAAAATATTCTTCACTCTGTAGAACATTCCGAAAAACTCCTCCCTGACCGAATGCACCGATGCGGTGGCTACTGGGTCCTCCTGTTTCTCCTCGATGGAGCTCTGCGTTTCCCGAAAACTAGCAGCAAGCTCGTTTAGCTGATTCAGTCGGTCCCTAACCTCACTTTGGGACGGATTCCGCTCTTTGATGTTGTCCGCGACAGAAAGCTCTACATTGATTTGAGCCAAGAGGGCGTTCCTCCGGCTAATCAGCTTTTGCAGGTCCGACATTATCCGGTTAGAAGGACCAATGTTTGGGTATTAGCGAACTGTACTTTTGCGGATTTAAAGCTTGGACTGCCTTTCGGAAACCGAAAATATACCTATTTTTTGACGTGGGACTACGTCTGTGATTTCTATATGGGGGTAAACTTTGTGAAAACCGAAAATGGAACATGTAGCAAAATTATGAAAGATTTTGACCGGTAGTAACTCAGCTGTCCCTGGACCAATTTCAATAATTTTAACACTAATCGATCAGAAATATTTCTACGCATCCAATTTATCAAATTTTTCAAATGTCACTATTGAAAATTGCACGAATGTGCACTTGCTGCTATGATAATCAAAATTGTCATCGATTGCCTGCGAAAAGCGATTTCCCTGACACAGATTTCAAAGTTGAATTCCATCCGGTCTCACCATACGGAGTTTATTCAATCACCGCGTGGTCAGTGGTTGTGTTCTTCAGTACCGAACGAAAGGCTCCCCGCAAGCAGCTAGCAATCACGGCTGCCCACAATCGCTGATCGAATTCAGTTCCAATCACCGTGTGTGGTGTTGTCCGGTCGTCGGCATCAGCAGCAGCAGCAGCAGTGCTTTCAGCACGTGGCGTTGGCATAGTTCTCCAGTACAAAACGAAAGGCTGCCTACAAGCAGCGAGCTGCAGCCCACATGAGCATCCATAGAACAAGGAAGAAGAAGCCGCACCGCTATTGATCGGAATCAGTAGCTCTTCGTGAGTCGCTGTGGGCCATCTATGTCAAGCGCGTCATACTAAAGAGTATAAACAGAGAGAACCCAGCTCAAATTCCTATTCCTACACAAATCACAAGCTCCTGATGCAGTTGACAAATACGATGTATTATATAAGACCACGTAGTCCTACGTCACCATTGCGTACAACCCCAAAGGGCTGTACCTGGTTTTTTTTACTACGATTTCAAAAACACGTTTATTCTTCTGGACGAATGAAACAAACTCAATTCATTTGACATTTCAAATTGTTTTTTTTCCGGAAATAGAAAATTGGTTCAACCCGAAGGTAAAAATACGGCGCTCGCAAAGTCGGGGGTCGCTTCGATACTGGAACAAATACTATTGTATAAAATAACCACTACCAGCCCTGCATATTGTAGAGGACTTCTGCTGACAAAAATTTTATCATTATCTCTAAAGGGTTATTTTTGAACGCCTTTTTTGTTTAAGGTGGATTTTTTTTTAATAACCGGGAATTGAAAAATGGACTTTGAATGGACACCCTGGTTCAATAAATGGTTTGCTGTACAAAATATTATTTAAACAAAAAGTTCCAAAATGTGTCCATAAGTTGTTGTTCTATGATTTTTTTTTAAGTGTCCAACTTGAAAATTAATGATTTGTTATAAAAAATTTATTGAAAATTATTCAAAAAATATTCAAGTTGATTACCCTTTTTTGGATTTTTCACCCAAAATGACTAGAATTGTTTTATAGACGAGGCTTGGTAGCTCAGTGGTTACCCTTTCTGCTAACTGAGCAGAAGGTCGGGAGTTCAATCGCAAGGTCCGCCCCCTTCCTTGCAATTTTTCACTTTGCCTTATTCTATCCCCACTAGATTTAAATGAAAATGAATTCTGCTTTAACCAACCGATCGCATCACTTACCACAGTTGAATCCTGATCTAAAAATAACCCATCTCACTAACACAACTATCCTCCCCGTCAAAGTCGTGGAGATGCAGAGGTGTATTCGGTTTCTAGTAACAACGGACGTTGAACTAATCATCCTTTCTTCCCCAAAAAGACCGTGAGGACGTGGCCGGCGCTGTGATTGATCTATAAATAGATTGAATTAGTGAGCTTGTACATTGAAGATGGAAAGCTAATCTACGTGGTTCTCCGTGCAGTTCTGATCAATCACTACAAAATGCACGGACTTGAAGAAAAAAATGACTAGAATTGTTTTACCGTGTATCTGAAATATTTTTATTATTATTATATTGATTGATTGAAAAATATCGAACACTCAATTTAGATTCAAAATGCCCGAATTGAATGATTGACCTTTACAAACAATAATGCAAATAGTTTCATACAAATCGGAGATGGTTGACCCTGAATATTTTTTTTTTTTTGTTATTTGTCCTGGAAATACTGTATTCGAGCAAATGCTTTTCTCTCATTTCATATAGGACTTCGTCGAATACGTTATGTTTCACGAACACATAATCGATGAGTCTTATTGGAACCGTCAGACTGTCTCTTTAAATCATTTTAATTTTCTACCTAATCTAACAACATAATAATTATTGTCTACCTCTGTTCGTTGCAAACATGGCTGCCAGGTAGTCAGATCAGTGACGTTGTTCTAAAGTTGATCTTATTTTTCGTTTCATCTCTTACAGATAGAAAGACGGAGAAGAACCGGGACCACGGCCTCAGACAGGCATACTCGTACTAGAACAGCGATTTCCGGTGCCGGAAAGTGAAAGTGTATAGAGCCGGCAATATTGCTCTTCAAACCACCGCTGCAAGTGCCGAACAGTGAAACAGGAAAAGGTCCTGGTGGCGGCGAAGACGGTTCCTTGCTCGGAGAGAGAGAAAGCGAATGACAAGGACCTTTTTGTGAGTCGGCTTTTACGGTCCACGAAGAGTGTTGTTTAAGTGTGTGTGTGTGTTGTTTGAGTGTCCTTTCGTGTACGTGCATCAGTGTATGGTTGTTTATCAAATAAAGGGAAAAGTGTGTCATTAATTAGTGATTAATGCCAGCTCTTGGAGCGGCAACAGATAGGGAAAGTGATAACGCATAGGCCACAGAGAACCGTCGATTCCAATCGACTCCGAAGTAGTAAATAGAAACCAAAATCAACATCTATCGGTCACCGTGCTACCAAGCTAGATAGCTTTAGGTGTGAGTGGATGAGAAAAGTAATATTACCGAGAAAACTACCATATTGAAGCTCGTTGTTTATGATTGTGCAAACAAAGAAAAGCTCTATAGATTACCTAAAGTGAAGCAATTATAACATCGGTGTGTAGTAATAGAAAACGCGGAAAACGACAAACGAAGCATGCTTTTGAAATGTCAAACATCGCCGCTTAAACGAATCCCTCCTGCCTCCGCGAGCCAGCCAGGTTTGGCAACAGCTGTTAGCACCAACAGCAGCAGTAGCAGTAACCAATTCCTATCCGGATTCGGTGCAGCCCGTCAGCCAACGACAGGTTTCGGCAAAGGCAAGGGAAAGGGAGGAAAGAATCTTCGGAATGGTGGAAGTAGCGGTAGTGGCGCATTACCCAGCGTAGGCAGTCCCAGCACCACTGGAACAGGTGAATGTTATATTTATATATCACGTTAAAAAGTATGTTGTAGCATCGCATCGAAAACGGTTTATATCGCTAAAATTTAATCCATTTTCAATTGATTGTTTGTAAAAACGGAATTATTCGCTGAAAATTATAACAAATTTTCAACCAAAGCCTCTTAACGGAATTCTTCATGAACAGCTTTTGGAGTGGATTAAGTAATTTCCTAAATTCTTAAATAGTTCGGCATTTCTAAGCTGTTTTGGAATATCAATGCTATTTTGCGATTTACAGTAATTACCCGATTTTATCAGCCCCTCCGTGCATTTAACTATTATCTTTCGATAATTTCACATAACCGTAATTCCAAACCTTTCTCATAAGGTTTAAAATATACTTTGGAGCAATAACACCATTGAAAAAGCGCAGCAGTTTCGTAGGACATTTCAAAAGATTCTCAGAAACGGAGCTAATAAAATAGGGTCATTACTGTATTGGCTTAGGGCATTTTAGCGTGTTTATTCCAAATAGGTGATTTAGAGTCATTTTAAGAACTCTTGCCCATTTTGGTGTTCCTAGGGCGATTTTTTTTTGCGTTTTTAGGTATTTTGGGAAGTTACAGGTCATTTCGACGTTATAACAGCCCTATAAACGATTCTAGGCTATTTAGGCATTTCACCGCCTTCAATCGGAGACTTGCCCGAAGGTTTATCCCAACTTCGTTTATTCCCAAAGCTTCTTCCGAGGTTCTTCTGGCTTCCAGAGAAGTTGCAGCCGACTTTTGTCGAGTCTCTTTCCACTTCCCTCTAACAAATTCTTCTCGGACAGTCCTCCAAATCCCCCAAAAAGTTTTTCTGTCTTCTTTTGGGAGTGTCTTCCGACTGTTTTCGGAAGTTCTTCCAGACTTTCCTGACTTCCTCAAAAAGAACATTTTCTTTCTGCTAGAATTACGTTCTGTCTTCCTTCAAAAGTTTTTTTTTCTAGACCTGTCAGCCCCGATGATTTAATTCCAACTTATCCCGGAATTTTATTTAATATTCACGAGAAACTTTCTACCACCTTTAATTGATTCCCTTTCCCTGTATACTTCCCACTCCCAAATTTCCCGGAAATGTTTTCCCATTGGGTGCGAATTAATTTGTTTTAGGTATTTATACTTAGCATGTCGATGCCTCCGGTAAAATGTGTAACGGTAAACTTGCAATGCTAGATAAATCATACTTTATACTTAAAAAAATTATTCGATACCCATGGATTTAAAATCCATCGATAAATTGCTGAGCAATGATTTTTCAAACATTGCCAATTTGTCGTTACACATTTTACCGGAGGCATCGTGTTCGGAGTGTTAAGCATCTTAACAATAACAAAATTGGATGGATGGAATAATATCTTTGCGATCAATAGATGTTATTGTTTTAAAGTCCCTATTTGGTCACTATTTTCATTATTTTAGACGCTAAAGTCAGTACTATTATATCCCAACCAAATGAGCTCAAATTTTGGACCTGATTTGGAATCGATTGAGTGAGGTGGAGCAAAATCAATATTTTGAACCACCCTAAATATGTAAAAACAAAGAAAGTTTACCGTTGACAAAAGTCAGCTGCGTTCCGTAACCTCACTTTTTAGCTGTGTTTCAAAACCAGATTTAATGCAATATTCATACTCGAATCGGTTGAAAAATACATTTAATTTTCAAGTTAACTCAATATCTATCCATTGCAA